ATATTGCACGTAAAAGTAATTAAAAAAATAAGTAGATCTTATTTCTGTTGCATTATTTTTATAACGATTACGATAATAACAAATGTTATTACAATTATTTACAAATATCGACATATCACAATTATAAAAATATAGTTTCGGATAACATCTTTGGTGTTATATAATAGTTATTATTTTGATAAACAGACCACTATTTAAATTTATACATATAATGATGTATAAATTTATATTTAGTAAATATTATTTAAATTTTATTAATAATTAAATTAAATTTTATTATAATTCTATTGGTTAATAATTATGCGAGGACTAAATTTATTTAATTATTTTTTATGTAATAAAATTTTCTATCACCGAGTTTGTTTCCACTGAATATAAGATATGAATATTATTTAATTTGATAAATATTAAAAGTTTAAAGACTAAGAAATAAAAAAAATTCAAAATAATAAAAATTATAACGTTTAAGGATAACAAAGTCATTATAAAGTAGACATAATGTTTAAATTAACATATATGAATAGAATTTATTAGCTAATAAATAATTAATGTTCTAAAAATGATTTCTTACCTTAAAATGAAATGTTAACAACGTAAGTACTCCAAAAAAATCAAAGCAATTATTAAGTCAAAAATTATAAATTTTTTTATTCTAAAATTAAATATTATGGACTAAAATACTTAAAAAAAGAATAAATATAAATCAAAACAACCATTTGAATAAACCTTAAAAATTAAATTTGACATTATATTTTAAAAAAAAATACTCCATTATAATTTACGTACATCGATCGGCTTAAAAAACATAATTAACCAACAAGGGCAAGCCTTTTGCCCCCCCCCCCCCCTTCTCATGACATGTTGACTACCCAAGGAAATGGCCAAGACTGCCTATTCAAATCAAAACAAAACTGTGACGTTAGGTAAAGATGCAACCCATATATTATATGTTTTTAAAGATATTGATTTTAAACTTATTTTATTGTTTACTAAATAAAAAGATTAAAATTTAAATTATTCGTTCAAGAAATTTCAAAGTGATTAAAAATCTTGGTTAAAGAGTATATTTAAAATACTACAACAACAACAAAACCCTATTCCCATATACAATGGGGTAAGGGGGAGGTAGGGTAGTAGGTTGCCCCCAACGTCAGGTTGAGAGCAGCTTCCGTGGAAGACCTCCGGCAGTCAGAAAATTAAAAATAAAGATAAAATACAATGCATGCATAAATAAATAAATAAATACATAGTTGAACAGAAATCATATGCAGTCTTCATATGCGCATCTGTAAGGGTAAGTAATCCTTGCAAATAAATCTGAGTAAAAATATCTGCATATAGACAGAAACATAAGTCCCGGCTAAATTTAAAAAGAGAAAACATGAAGAGAATGATGCACAGAAGTCAGCGATAGCAAGCTACGAGAATGAATAAAGTCAAATGAGTTAAAACGTAAACTAAGGCAACACTACTCCGCTACCCTAGTTCTAAGGCTTCATAATTTCCAATGACATAAACGTATAAAAAGTAGAAGTCATTGAAAATTACTACAAAGGCATTAAAAAGAAGACAATGATGTTATACCCTATGGTTGTGACCCACACTACTCGGCTACCCTGGTCTTAAGTCTCCATGTTATCCTATCAGAGGTCATGTCCTCGGTAAGTGTTAAATCCTTCAAATTAGATCTCAAGCAGTCTACCCACTTCCTCCTTGGTCGTCATTTCTTTCTGGCACCGTCGACTGTAATCGACTCTACCCTCCTGACTGCATCCGACGGTTGTCGCCTAAGGACATGCCCAAACCACCGTAGTCTTTCCTCCCTCAATTTTTCGGATACATGCACCACCCCCAAGGACATCCTAATTGCAGAGTTTGGTGTCATGTCCCACAGAGTCCTACCGCATGCCCATCGAAGCATTCTCATTTCTGCCGCCTCCATCCTCATTACGTGACCCTTCTTGATTGCCCAACATTATGATCCATACAGCAACGCTGGTCTTATTGCCATTCTATAAAAATTTCCCTTAAGTTTTAGAGGCACCTTATTGTCACACAAAACTCCAGTAGTAGCCCTCCACTTTAGCCATCCTGCCTTTATACGGTGTGTAACGTCATCATCTACACCCCCATCTTTATGTATCATAGACCCTAGGTACTTGAAACAATCTTTTGAGGGGGAACGTGTCCTTCTATGCATACTTCTACATCTTCATCGTTTTGGTTCCCACTGAAGTTTGAACATAAATACTCTGTCTTTTCAATATTGATCCTTAGACCCTTTTCTTCCAAAGCAGTCTTCCAGGTAGCCAGTCTACTATTCAACTCAGTTTTAATTTCAGCAACTAGGACAATGTCGTCAGCGAAAAGCATACACCATGGAACACCGTCTGGTGTCGCACAATAAATGTCATCCATAATCAAGGCAAAGATGTAAGGGCTAAGAGCCGACCCCTGGTGGAGTCCGATTTCCACCGGGAAAGCCTCGGTGTCGCCAACTGTAGTCCTGACGTATGTAGTAGATCTACAGTACATATCACGAATCGCCCGGATATAAGCAGTTGAGATCCGTCTCGTTTCCAAGGTCTTCTAGATCGTATCGCGGGGAACGCTATCATACACCTTCTCAAGGTCAATGAGCGTTATGTGAAGATCTCTATTTTTTCCCTATATTTCTCCATAAGCCGTCGAAGTAGATGAATCGCCTCCGTAGTAGACCTGCCTGGCATAAAACCAAATTGGTTTTCCGAAACCCTAGTAACCTGTCTCAACCTAGCCTCTATCACCCTTTCCCATAGCTTCATAGTATGACCGAGTAGTTTAATACCTTGTAGTTACCACAACGTTGGGGATCTCTTTTATTCTTATAGATTGATATCACCGTAGACTCTCTCAACTCCTCTGGCATCTTGGCAGCCTCTAATATAATATTAAAGATGTGGGTCAACCACTTAACTCCCTCTTCTCCTAGGGTCAACCACACAGTGATAGGAATTTGGTATGGACCGACAACTTTGTCCCTCCCCATCTTTCTAAGAGCCATTTTGACTTCCTCAATCCCAATCCTACTTGTAGGGCAGTCATTGGCCGTAGTATGATGGTCGGCTGACCCATCAATGATACTATCTCTACACGGAGAGACACCGTCGTTAAATAAGCCAAATAAGTAACTACCCCAAACTCTCTTAATATCATGAACTTTCACTAAAAGAACATCATTGTTGTCCTTAATAAACCTAATGCTACCTAGATCCTTTTTCCTATTCTTCCTGGATTTTGCAAGCCTTAAGATGTCGTTTTGTCATTCCTTGGTGTTTAATCTCTTGTATATTTCCTCATATGCCTTATCTTTTCTTTAACCACTGTTTTCTTGGCTTCCCGCTTTGCCTCCTTATTCCTTTGCAAACCGATAACACATTTTTTTTAATTGTATATTAAAGGTGCCGCAAAAGTCCCCTTGAATTCCACTCCATGTATGCGAAATAAAAGTAAAGGTAGGGCCAAAGTAATAAAAAGAAAAGTGAAAAAGCCGTTAGGCGTTGGATTTGAATTTGAAGTGGCTGTGTGCGCCGATGGCTGTCACGATTTTCCATGAACAATGGTCATCACTCATCATGCCTTGCCTTCAACTTTTTTCCCCCCTCTTAAAATTGGAGGGAGTTAAGATTTGAGCAATATAGAGGGGGGGGGGAGAAACAAATTTATCACTTTCTTCCTTTAATTAAATTTTTAAGACAAGTTTTTTATATTATAGTTATTAAATTTGTTTATTAGTAGGAGAAAGTAGAAACCGAATTATCAAAAGTAAAAAAATAAAATAAATAGAGACTGTTATTGTTTATTAGTAGTATTAGAAGCTTGTGATTGTAATAATGGATTATGAATATAATTATTCAAGCGCATTGATTGTACTGGTACATGATACGTAAATGGAAAAGTGGGAGTTGCCCAATTATGTATTTACAAGAGAAATTGAAAAAAAGCAAGAGTTTCGGGATAACCTACTTGTATGATTTAACAAATTAGACAAAGATGCAGGCACCGGAGCCTACTCTTATCACTAACATTAGTTGATGGAGGTTTGCATTATTAGTGGTTTAATTACTGCTTAATACCTGGGGAGTGGGACACAGACGGCCACCATGCCTGACAAGCACAAACAAAACATATTTTGCTTCTTTCTGATTCCCAAGAACCAAACTGTTAGCCCGTGAATGCATGCATCTGCCTTTGGTCCCATCCAGTTTGGCACTACCTCTTGTATTTTTATATGTATTAAGCTTCACTAACCATATGGTTTATGGTCTAAATCATTAGTTCATGCATTCACCTTCATTTTCTTTTCGAATGAATCTGCAAGATTAGGCTTTGTTGCGGCCAAAGGTCATTAGAGATCAAATCACTAATAATTAAAAGTTGATTAGTACGAATCTTCAATAGTAAAATATATAGTGGATACGATACAGATTAGTGTGAGTAACGTCAACAGCACCATTCATCGGTTCCACCATCCGAGTTGAAGTGGCCGTTTTTAAGTAGGAGGGCCATGAGGGGATTGCGCACGGGTGGCCTTGGTTTGAGCTAACCGTAAAGCAGCAGCAAGGTCACCGGGGAGGGCTTGGTAATCAATCACCTGCGTTTGGGTCAGCAGTTAAAAGTCGTAACACGGAATGCGTTGTTGGATATCTAGTCAGACACCTCCTTGAGAAGAGCAGTGCCGTTGAGGACTAGGACTGGGTGGTTGATATCTTGCCATTGCCGTCTCTTTTGATTCAGATATTGATTTTTTGGTCTGTAAATTGCAAGTTGAACACTTGTTTAGTGTGAAATCTTTGGCCCAAAACAATACGTTAAGGCACCATATTGATGAACCAGAATCCAACCATATAAGCATACAAGATTCATGAACAATGGTTCAATGTATCTGTGTGATTCGCCTATGATGCGTCAAATACAAACTTTTTATTCTATCCAAATGATAATAAAATAGAAAACAATAGTATGGATGATAACCTTACAATTTATTGGTTTTTACAACTGAAATGAACCTTCTCTCCTAAGCAGTTACAAATGGTGCACTACTTACTGCAATTAATATTATATGCAAAAGTGTACATAAAAACACAATAACAAAAGATAATTATTCAACTATATATTTGTCTCTCAAAATCAAATCTTCATCTACTACTTCTCCTTTGAAATACCTGCTTAGGATCCATCACCTTGCTGCCTGAATTGGCTTCTCCTCCCTTTTCTTTCCCTTTCTCAGACTCTCCTCTCACCATCTTGGCCTCCAACCTCTTCTGCATGTCTCTTTCACTTGTTTCAGGTACCCTGCTCCTTATCCCCTCATGTTGCAGCTTATTGTTGCACTCTTGTTTTGCTTCAGCTTCGGCTTCGGGTGGTGCCTGACTCACTCTGGTTGTTAACTCTGGTTTATGAGTCGTGGCCCTGGAACCACTCTCTTGTTCAAAAAACAAGACTTGGACCACCGTTCTTAATGGTAGCCTCTCGTTCTTTACCGCATGTGCACGCACCTCTGGAGACAGTTTCTGGCAGTCTAGCATTCTGCATAGCCTTTTCTTTTCTGCTTTACTAACATCAGGGTGCTCCTGCTTAAATCAAATGCATTAATATGTTCGTGTCTATCAGTATCCATAACATGCAGAAATGAGCAACTGGGAGATGATTAGTGAATTGGCGTCACCTTGAGATAAATGTTAATGGACTTATAAAGGCCATCATGATCTTCCCTGGCTACATCCGGCAATGCTTCAGCTAGAGAAACTAGTTTGGATATTGGCATGTTGACATCCCTTGCAACAACTTGAATATATGAATCGATAAGCTTCCCCGTCTTTCTAATTGATCTAAGCAAGTGGCCGTTTTCTGCAGGTGCTGGGGATTGTCTTCTGCATATTGCCAAAAAACTGTCTAATACTGCTGCAACCAAGTCAATATCATAATAGTGCTGATCAGTAGGCAACTGTGAAGGAAATAGTATATCATTTAGTGTCGCTTCTTCGAATTGCAGACCGGCTTTCCTTATCAGTTCAGTCTTTGTCACCGGGGACGCTCCTAGATAACTTGCAATGCTAAGGAGCTTTAACAAGAAGCCTATTGAAACCGAGCCTCGATCGGCAGGAATCATGCTCACAATGGATTCAATAATTCGCCTACTTTTTTCTTTGGATTCTTCAGTCCGAGACCCTGAACTATGGGGAGGTCTAGACTTTGTAGTGTCCGGTAGCCAACAACAGGCATACACATGCAAAGCTTCACCAATGAGCTGTGGTGGTGGGATATAGGTTGATCTTACAACAGTGATTATGCATCGAAAGAGGTCTATGTCAAGATCCGATATGTCTTCCGTCCACCAATCTCTCGGGACAGACTGGTGTTGTTTTTTATTGTACCCTGGTCTAGTATAAGTGTAGGACCATGAAACCTGCAGGGAGTCACCTCAATTAATCTAATGTATGTTTTCTGCACAAAATATGCAAGCAGTAAAATAGATGTAAAAAACCTTAGCTGTGGGTGTGAGGATTTTCTCTACAATAGAATCAATGCACCTTCTAATGATTCCAAGGTTCTCCGACCACTCCGGTAACTTAATCGTAGTCTGAAGAGTGATGATCGGGTCCTTCCAGCCTTCAAGAATGCATGAATTGAAGAAAGCTTCTAGTTTCAGAACAAAATTTCCCTTCTCAATGGATTCAGTCATTCTAAGGAACTTAGCAGCACAAAATGCAGGCACAAAGTTATGGGCGCTGAGATTGATTGTTATCCCATAGCAAAATTTAGCACAGAGTTCGAAAGCATCTTCACCCCCTGGAACATCGTGAAGGTCTATAGTAACAATTTCAGAGTCGTCAGAATCTGAGCAGAGCCGTTGTAGAAGGCCACACTTCGGAACAAGTGGAACCTGCAACTAAGACTAGCACCATTAATTAAGAGGCAAGTTATCTACCAACCCCAAGATCTCTAGTTTTCTTCCCCAAAATGCTGAATCTACAAGCCTAAACATGATGCATATTACGGAAACCATTAGAATAAGGTAAGAATTCATGATATATATTATGAACTCAATGAAGTATACCTTATGCAGAAGAAAACAAACGTTGTTAATCCTTATTGTAAGATCACTTGGTATGTCTGAAATCACAGTTCTGGTAGCCTCTTCTGTGTAGAAGGTGTCTGGCTTTGTCCCAATTTTCATAAACTTCATTTTTTCCCCTTGTGATCAAAATTTCCCTTTGCAACACTGTAACATTTGATTGAAAGACAATTCCTTGAAAGATTTCAAGATCTGCTTCATAAAACACAAAAAATGAAATAGCTCAAAATCATATGCTTCCATTACACAAACAACAGAGAGAAAACCCCACAGTCAGCAACACGTGCATATGCATACTCTGACAAGCACAGTTGAACCAAACCAAGGCAAGGCAGCCACTCAATTAAACTACGGTTACGTTGACATAACCCTTTGTTTCTTTTCAGCATATTGGATTTTGGTATTTGGCTGATATACACTGATAGTGACATGAAAGAAACTGAAGCATCCCCCCCTCTCAATACCAAAACTGAGTGCACAGAAACTTCAAATATAACGAACTTATATGCAGTTCACAAAAATGGCCAAAACAAGATGAAAAGAGGAAAATATCAGAAACAAGAAGCTCAAGGTGTATGAAAGAGTGATATGGTGGATCTAAGTAATTGGAGAGCTTCAGTAATCAGTATGTAAAAGTGTTGCAGACAAATGCAAATGTATTGTTTACCTTAACTTTTTATTCAACACAAAAGGGTCCCATCATCTTCACCATTCCTGTTTACAACCCTACAAAGCCCTTTAGCCTGTAATAATATGTCTTTACCTGAAAAAAAAAATAAAAAGATGAAATTCACCTAATTTTCTTCGCTGTCATGCACTGCAAGACATTGAGGATTTGATGGCGTGGAAACCAGAAGAGTCTTGAAGGAAACAACCCCAACTTTTTCAAACTTAAATTTAAAACCTCTCCTTAAAGTCTTCCTCAATGACATTTGTTTCCAATACCTTACAATCCTTGGCAGTTTCATCCAAGTTAATATTCAAGATTTTGAACTTGTTTTGCCAATTCCCAGACACATGTTACTACAAGAAACTGAAAACCCCGGGAATCCGGTTCCCACACAGTGAAGTTACTTCTCAAGCCAACAGCCATGTGATCTACTTATATACCTATAGTCCCGACTTGGAGTTTAGTTCGGATGATTCATACTATCATTTTAAGAGGTGACGTTGAGTAGGGTCTAGACTTTGGAAAATATAGATTTATTTAAGTATTTAAACTCACAATTTGGGAAGACAATGCCCCTAATATCTAGACTAGAAGCGACCTACAATGCGTTAACAACAACGTCCAAGTCTAGACTGTTCAAATCTCAGTACTTGTAATCCGGAAGCATTGTACATAGAAAACAAGTGCAGTCAGTGAATTCATCCTAAATCACACAAATTCAGTAGACCCCACTTGATGAACCATCTTGAATTTGATCTATTACAGCTATTTCCTCGTACTCTGTAACTTAGGGAAGTGAAAGCCTATGTATTATTTCCTATATCACTCATAATTGATACAAGACAAGACCAGAGCATGGAGCTGCAGATATATCAAAACATCATGATTCTTCATTGAAATTGATACTACTTTGGGGCCTAATTTCCTGGCAAGTTATGCTTTCTCCACACTCTTTGATCAGCAAGCAAGAGGAGCTGAAATTAATGAATAAAGGCATATATAGATCCAATATCTAAAAACAATAACTCAGCACTTACCTAAATTTTGGTGGATCATCGACTCGACTTTCAACCTTCATATACATACCTACGTGTTTTGCGGAGAAGATATCATATATGGAATGAAATGATACCCGATATCAACCAAAAATATCTCATGTTTTAGTAGACTGACGTGTGACACTGTTGTTCTCGGAGTAGACGTGATGAAATGATCTTAATCGGTTTAGAATATTACGAGTCTTAATGATGAAAATTAATCGTATAGTATGAGTTATTCTCTCTTTATACTTTGGAAAGGATACTATATAAAATAAGTGGCTGAGGTTTGCTTTCGTGGTTGTCATTGAGTGCCTTGAGACATAAATGCCAACCCAAAATGAATATCCCAACAACTTGGTTGACCGACACTTAATCCAACATCATCATCCTTTTTAAATCGAATATATATCTATATTCGACAATCATTCAATTTGGAGAAGAAAAAAGAGGTTGTGGTGTGGTTAGCCTAAAAGGAAAATGAGACCCACAACTGTTTCCAAAAAAGGCTAAGCTCACTGCTTTACCATATGAACACCAAGATTCCATTACTATATGCTTTGCTCATGGGCAGGCATTTGCTCAAATGGCTTCCAAAGTTTCTGATAAAACACATGATGCCATCTAGTGCGGTTGTTAGCTATATTAGCCTATGAATATCTGCAGTCTTTTCTAAAACTCATAAAGATCTGCTCAATACAACCCCATAAATTTTAAAAAAGTTTTACTTCTTGTCCTTTTCCCACTCAGATTTTTTTTTTCTTTTTTTCCCAAATAAAAGTAATAAAGAAAATTAAAAAAAGAAAGAAAAGAGAGACATACCCTTAATAATGTGCTTGTTGAGCTGAGCATGAATAGCAGCAGCTAGCTGTTATCAACTTATATGCCAAAAGCTGCAATTATACTAATATTAACCCCAGCTGATCAGCCCAGAGCAGAACAATAATGAATCAATACTTTCTGTATATATATATATATATATATATATATATATATATATATATATATATATGAAAAGAGAGAGGGAGTGATAATAAGGTAGAAGAAGCTAACAAGTTTACATCATGAGACATGCAATATGATATGATGATGAGACATGAAAAGGATGTGTGAATTGCTTCCATGCATGTGTAATGGGGATGCTTATGGGTTATGGGTTTGAGTTAGAGTAAACTAGAGAGGCACATAACACCAAGTAAAGGGAAAATGGGTGTCCCCCAAATGTCTCACCAATAAGACAGGGAAAAAGAAAGTGGTTTGTTGGGATTAGTCAACATAGTAATGTATCATCAAAGGTGTGCTCACCATCATTACTTCCTATGAATCGAATCCCAAAAGAAATTAAGACGAAACACATTTTAAAAGGAATTGAAAAAGAGGACAAATGGAAGAGAGTTGATATATTGGTGCTCCATGATTGAATAGAATACATGCAACGCAAGTGGGAAAAAAAGATCCGGTGTGGGTAGCTCATGATGGTACCCCCCACTACGTACCTATACTCTCCTTCCTGGGCTGATTTGCCTGTTGGTTGTTTCGCAGGCCAAATGCAGACGCAGACATCTTCTTTGCACTCCCAGTCCTCTCTGTCCCTTTGTTTCTCTCTTTTTCTTTTTCACGTTTATAAATTCTCATTATCAAGCCAACGACCCTTCCCTTTTATTTTTTTTCCTATATAACGTGTGCTTGCTGCTGCTGTACGTGTCTTGCTTATGCTTTTGATTTGTATAAATAGACAGCTTAACTTCATCAGAATTGTTGATTGTTTAACAATAATTAAACCCTAGCTCTTTTTGTTTCTAAAAGCTTCATTTCGGTTCCTACTTAATCCCTAAACATCAATCATCTTGTTTAGGTGGTCAACAGTATTTATATATGTATTCATTTGTGAAAAAGAATAAATTACATTCAACATCAATTATGAATTTAATAATAAATATGTTAGAAATATGTCATCCAATTAAAATATTATTACAAATAAATCCCTCTATTGATCCTAAGCCGTAGTTAGATATTGTTAAACCAAATGTGCCCATCCAATCGAAGCAGTAGTTAGATAACTACATTTTTTTCATAAAGTAGTAATAAGTTACTGAATAACAATTTAGTAGAAGCACAAAGGCTAAAATGATGGGATTTTAAAATACGAAAGGCTAAAATTATTGTATAGGTTGTAAGAAAGAAATTATTTCATGAATCTGGTTCATCACGTCATCTATGGTCTCTGTCGTAACCGGTTTTCGTCCGGGTACGAATTTTTTACTTGACGGGAAAATTGATGTGAATAAATGGTTTTTAAAATAATTTGGGAGTCGCCATCGGCCTTTTGGGTCAGGTAGGTCGAATACCTAAAAATCATCATTTAAAAGAGTTTTTAAGAAAACATCGATTAAAAGATAAACTGATCTGTGTTTTAACCAAAAATTCGTTCTTTTTAATAATAAAAAGGGATTCGTGGTCGGTTACGTTTAGGGAAGGATTAACACCCCTACAATGCCCAAAATTGGTACTTTTTAATTAGAAATTGTCTCTATTATTAGAAATTAAAAATTCAAAATATATTTAATTTATAATCCTATTATTTTAAGATTATAATTATGAAAAATATATATTAATTTATATATATTTATAAATAAAATATTTATTTATTTAGAAATATCAGAAAAGGACTTCTAGGTGCCTTAAGACAGCTCTTTTCTTTGATATTAAAAAAATAAATAAATAATTAAAACAATTAATATATAATTTATAAAATAAGATATTTATTTATTTAAAAATATCAGAAAAATGGACATCCAGTTATTTTAAGACTGCCCTTTCTTAATATTGGAAAATAAATAAATATTAAAATAGGATTAAAATAAGTTAAAAATAATTAACTAAGATTTTAATAAATAAAATACATATTATTTATTATACAAATATATATATTTATGGTTAAATAATAATAATAATAATAATAATAGTAATAATTAACATATAACTAAACAATGAACAAAATTAAAACTATATATTTAAAATAAATAAAAATTGAAATTAGTGACTAAATTGTAACTTAATAGAATTAAATACCTAATTCATAATTAATTATTTAAAATTTGAGTGACTAAACATGCTATTCTCCTTATTTATTAATTTAGTGACTAAACTAAAATTATATAAAATTCATATATCAAATTAAAATAAATTGAAATATACTGTTCGGGGTTTAAAATATTAATTATTAAAATTAAAGGACTAAATATGTTATTTATCCTAAATATATTATTTAATATAAAGGACTAAAATAAATAAAATTAAAATTAAAGAACCGAATTAAAAGGATTATAAATTGATTTAGTGACTAAAATGTAAGGATTACAAATTAAGATGACTACGGAAAGGGTTTAACTTTTAATTAATTACAGACAAACCCCTCCCCAAAACGGCATCGTTTGGGGAGGGCTATTTAAGTCCCTCAACGGCTGGCCCGAAGGGCCAGCTCTAATTTCTCTCATTTCCTTCCTCTCTCTAAACTGAGAGAGTTTAAACTCTCTGGCTTCTCTCTAAAACAGAGAGAATGGCACCGACCGGCAGCCATTCACCGGCGTCAACCCCGCCGTCGGCCACCACCTTCGGTGGCCGGGAAATTTTTTTTTACACTAAAATACAACCCTAATTTCCCCAAGGTCGATTCCGACCTTTGTTTCCCCAAAAAGACTTTCAATCGAAGTAGATCTATGAAAATACCTTCGGTATTTTCTGTTCTCCGGCGATGTTTAGTGCTTCCGACGATGGTCAAGGCTCCAAGGGTAAGTTTCTTTCTTATTTCTTTGTTTTCTATTTTTGTTTTTCTTTTGTTGCTCTCTGTTGG